TATGGTCCTGGGGGTGGGGGGAGTGATCTCTGCATCTTGGATATCAGTTCTTCCTAAAATACTCAAGCTCGTGAGTAAATCATGGCTGGCACTTCGTGGTAACTTGGCCTGTGGTGTTCCCACCAAGCTGGGTCTGACGGCTCTTTGCCCTTTCCTTCTCCTGGCACATGTTCTCCTTAAGGACCTTATGGTGGATCCCAACCCCACATCTGGCAACTGAGAATGTGGTTCTGTTGAATTTTGACCAGAGCTTCACCTAAATGAACTGTTCCCCTCACTTTAAGAGAAAGCCTACAGTTTAAACTCAGCGTTACTCTGGAAATAGCAGTATTTCTAGTTGAGTGAGTGCATAAACTGCTGGGAAGCATACTCTGCATTTACGTGCAACATTTTACTTAATCATCCTATTATCCCCACAAGGAGGGTATTTTTATTTCCCCATTTGACAGATGAGAAAATTGAGGCTCAGAGAAGTTAAGTAAGTTGCTCGAAATCACAGCCAGAATTCTAAGCCATATGCGTAACTGCTCTGCATCCCGGCCCCTCTTGGCGAGTCCTATGTTGTGCCCTGTTGCCCAGGTCAGTTCAGGTTTGAAAAGAAATGTCCAGAAAGCAGCTTTCAAAAGTAAATCAATGACAGGCAAAGTCATGAGTACATAGCTCATTCTCTGTATCTGTATTGGTTTCTTAAATTTGAGATGAGATAAAAATTAAGCAAAATAGGAAGAAATGGAATGGAAATCACTACTCATCCCAAGTAAACTTAATATTGATCTTTTTGTTCTTGTTATGCACTGATAACATTAAATTCTGATATTTCTTAGGAATTCTAATTGTATTAAAATATACTTTCCATATGATGGGAATATAGCTTTAGGTATTTTACCTAATAGACTTCAGTGGTAACTATATAAACTATATAAACTTTTACCAAGTAGACTTAGGTGGTGACTCATAAAAGAACTATTGGTGATAAAGAGTCTTCTGAAGGTTTCCTAAACTTTTAAAAATCATTCCTCATGGGAATGTATGATATAGTAGAAAGGTTTAAAAATTTTTTTTGGTCTCAGCTGTGTGACTTTGGTAAAGTCACTAATTTCTCTGGGCTTAGAGTTCTCTAAAAATGGAGCTGGATTAGCTCCTTTTAGATCTGTAATTCCATGACTGCTTGTGCATCACAGAGCATTCCCTGGCTGTTTAGTTGTGCTGGCGTTAGAATGTTTTGAAATAACAGCTCTCAGGTCAGATTTACTGAGACGCACAGGGGAGAAAGGGTAGAGTAAAGGGGATGACCAGAAGACCTGGCCAAAGGGGTTCCACTTGCCATTTTCTATCAGCATCTGTGAGTTGGGTTGTGCATCTAATGGGCAAGTCTTAGGTTGAGAAGAGCCCATATTTGCCCACGGATCAGAACATAGGAGAAGAAACAGAAATAGCTTCACTGTGGGACTCCAGTTTTATATCTCTGCATTGAAACCTGTCCCTTATTTTCAGATTGCTGAATTCTAACTCATTTACGGTCATCCGGGATGATGCTTTTGCTGGACTTTTTCATCTCGAATACCTGTAAGTGCTGTGCTTTGTGTGTTTGCTGAGCATTTGGTACATCAGTAGAATTGCTGTATTGCTTTCTAAGCTGAACAGCATCTCTTGGACAGAACTTAGGGGTGGAGAAAAGAAAACCCCATTCTCTTTTCAGCGCTGACCTTTTATAGTTTACTTGTGTATACACATGCTGGGACAGGAGGAGCCTGGGGACAAAGGGGGGAAAGGAAACAAAGAAGGCAAGATATTCATTCATTTTCTGCTGACATTTAATTTGTCATGTAGTAAGCACAATTGGAAATTGTGTTGGATATTTTTACCTCTCATAACTAGGCATGGATTTGCTGATCAACCAGAAATGAAGCTGAAGGATTCTGAGGGTTACTTATTTTTAAATAAAGTGTCCCTATATGGGAATACAACTTCATGTTTTTAATTCAGCTGCCCTATGTCCTGCTTACAGTATCTCGTGTTCACTGCTGACGAGGGTCTAATTTTCTTTCTTCTCTTTTCAAAAAAGATTATTTTCCCCTTTTCAGATGTGCAGTTTTTCCCCAGCAATGAGCTTTGCCCTCCCTCTGGTTCCTGCCCTTTCTTGTCTTTTTTCTGCTTCAGTTCTTTCACCCTTGCCTTTTGTAACTTGTAATAATATCAATCCGGCTATCAGATGGGATTTCCTTAGGACGGGGGGAAAGCCTTGTCTCTGCTTTCGTATCTGAGGTGAACAGGTAGATGTTTGGATTCCAAATGCATCCTGCAGCTGAGGAAGCTCTGCTCTGAGTTTATGGCCTCAGGAAGGATGTTTCTGGAATTCTCGCTCCCGAGTGCATATCATACATGTGCGCTCGTGACGCTGTGATAATATACGCTGAACGTGAAAGATGGGGAGCACTGAAGCACTGAGTCCATCTGGGTTCCCTCAGGGCACGTGAACAGGCCACGCAGGGAATGAAGGTGAAGCCACCTGTGTTCTCTTATGAGCAGCTCATCTCACTGTCGAGGGGATGGAGGAGGAGGTGAGCTCCGTTTACACTGAAGTCTATCACCGAATAGACCCCTGGTTTTTAAAAAGCAGGCATCGGGAAGGTCTCAGGGCAGGAATCAAGAACGATTTCACTAACCAACGGCCTCGTGTTGCGCAGCCCCTCCCTTGGACCCTCATCACGGCCCTCTCCCACCTGGAGAAGTGTGACGCCTGAGCCCGGGCTGCAGGTCTCTGTGGCCCGAGGGCCTGGGCGTGGTGCAGGTGTTTCTCACTAAAGCGCAGCTGGAGTTCTACTAACGCGGGATCCTGCTCGAGCCCTAAGATGCCTCGGCGCCGAGGAGGGAGCCTGGCCCACACTCAGTGTCATTCTCCTTCCTGCCTCCCGGCGCCTCTGAGATCTAGAGAGGACCCTGCCCGCCACCGATTTGTTCAGACGTTAGACCGTGTAGGACGCGATGAACTCAGAGTTTGCCAGAAGCCAAGCTTAATGGATTTCTCCCTCAGCAAAAACTTTGATAAGGAGACGTGGAATAACGGGCTCCCCTCAAGGGACAAGGTTATGAAGGAAGCCGGCACAGGCAGGCTGGGAGCGTGAGGCGGCCGCGGCCTGCGCGCCTCCCGGCTTGGGAGCTGTGAACGTTCCTGCCGGGCCGAGTGCTTCCTTCTTTTTCCCCCACGATGCTTCTCCCCGTGTTGTCCACCCTGAATTTCAAGACATCCACGCTGCTGCTGCAGAGAGTGCAGACATACACTCATGGCCACGCTTTTAGATTTTATTCCAGAAACATACCAATATCACTTTTGAGAGCTGTCAAGCTGAGAAAACTCAGTTTAATTATCCTGCTGTTCTCCTTAGGTTCATCGAAGGGAACAAAATAGAAACCATTTCAAGAAATGCCTTCCGTGGCCTCCGTGACCTGACCCACCTGTAAGTCCTATGAGAAGTGTTGTCAGTCCTTTAAGGTGTAAAATAAGATTCGCTTCCTGGTGTTTCTCTTTCTCTTGACTGTTTGTCCGTGTAACAGCATCTGAGTGAAACTAATTTCCAGGTTGCCCTAGAGGTTTCTGTATTGTCGATCGGTCACCAGCCCAAGGTAATAAAGATGCGCTGGTCTTGGTCGTATTTTCCATCATTCTGGATTGTCGTCATGGACCACGCCTGTCACATAGGGAGCCCTGCGAGCTGCGAGGGGCCTCTGTGAGTGGTGGAGAGGTGGGAAGGAGGCTGACACATTTTGTACACCTACTCTGTGCCAGGCACAGGTCTGGGTGCTTAGTGAGCCTTCTTCTCGTACCTTTCACGATGATCTGTGAGTCCCTATTTTACAGATTTTAGGAGCTGAGGCTTACATGACTCCTAGAAGAATGTTGAATGGAGGATCAGAATTAGGACAAAATGGAATAGAGACATTTTCTGTGGTACCTTGAATTTGAATGCAAATAGCTTTTTCTTTTATGTTGGATTAATCGGCAGCTTAAGCTAAGCTCTCTGGGATTTTTAATAGCTTTCTGGAGAAAAAAATTTAAACAAATTGATTTGAATTGGCATATCAGAATGAAGCAAGTGCTCACACTTAGCAAATGTAGAAAACTGGAAAAAATAGGGCCTGCGTTTATGAAAATGTAAAAATCATCATTGTCTTGGTAGGAGCCATTTATTAGCCAGGAACCAGGTCCCATGTGTGTGATAGATATTTGGTATTTGAGGAAGATGACATGTCTCATCTCACAGTCAGCTGTGTGGTAAAAAGAGAAGTGAGGACACTGGAGGGCTTTGAGTGGGGTGTCGGGCAGGAGCGGTCATACCCTCAGCGTGTGTCACCCTGACTGATACAGCATCTGAAGAGATAATAGTTTACATCCAACCCTGATGTAGGCAAAGGTGTCTGTCACCTGGCTCAGCGAGCACTGGATTCTGGAATCCTACCAAGCAGAAGCTCTGCCTGGGTTCAAGCTCACAGAGTAAGGAGAGGAGGGGGCAGAAGCGGGAGGCCCAAACATCTGGCTGAGCACAGCCACCCTGGAGAGCACCCACTCTTGTTGGCATTATTGCTCTAGGTTTACTTTTCTTCCTGTAAAAGCCTTGATTTTTTTTTTTTTTTCAAATTAAACCTAGATTCTGAATCCTCCCATTCCTGTAGAGGCTAAGACAATGGGCTTGGAGTCACATAGACTTGGGTTCAGATCTCAGGGCCATCACTTGTTACTGTTGCTTAGCTTTGCTGAGCCTGTTTCCTCATACTTAATATGGGGACGATGGTTCTGAGCCCAGAGGATTGCCGCACGTAGTGGTTAATGCTTGCTTGCAGAGCACCCAGCACACCAGCCGGGGAAATGCTCAAGGTATGGTGGCATTGTTATCATTATCAGCGACATCCCTTCCTCTACTCATTAAGCAGTTTCCATTTTCTCCATGGACTACTGGTAGCCTTGGCAGTTTCGGTGGCCAGACAGGGTCTGCTATGCAGACAGCTGTGGACATCTGGAGAGGAACAGCTATGGCCAGATAAACCCAGTTCCCAGAAGTCAGGAATGAGGGACTTTGTTTTAAGCAAAAACTCTGGGCAGATTGTGAACCTATAGCAAAGTCCATGTGACTGAGTTAGCCTAGATGTCAACTTTCATTTGACCAGTTGGCTGTAGTCTCACCTGAAAACAGGTGAGAACATGCAGGTATTGTACATGTATATTTGCATGGCTTTGCGCATGTGTCCCCATGGGTGTATGGACTTCTCTACGTGTGTGTACATATGAGTTTGTGTGTGCATGCTTGTGCATCTGCACACAGAACTATGTGTATATATTAAATGTGCATATGTGTAAGAGGCACCTCCTTCTCTGTGTGCAATGCAGAGGGAATAAAGCAGTCCTCTGCTTGGGTCCAGAGTGCATCGGATACATTAGTACACTCATCCCATATATTGCCACATGACAGTCAAGCCCCCAAAGGGCCCCGTCTCCCCAGCTCTCCAACCTCATTTCCCTAAATGTCCTCAGAACACTGGCTCTCAGGGGGCTCCCAGGCATACCCAACTCATCCTATTACTGGGCTTTCCCTCACATCCTTTCTCTTGCCCTGGATGCTGTTTCTTCTGCCTGTGATCTCCTGGAATCTGCTTTTTCTTCAAAGTTCAGGTTAAGTTCTATCTCCCACATGGAGCCATTCTGATCTCCCCTTCATTCCTCTGTAGCCCTCCCAATTGGCTCCACACACCCAGCACTTTACTGTGGGCTAAGGCCATGCTGGTTGGTGCTGTTTCATGGGTAATAGTTTTATCTCCCCAGCAGCACTGAAAGAGCCCCAAGGGGAGGGCCCATCAGGATCTCCCATTAGCTCTGCTCTTCTCCCAGCATCTAGCACAGGGCTCAGCCAGCAGGACATTCTTTCTGATTCACCAGTTGACCAATGGGTTCCTTATTGAGCCAGAATTCTCATATAGACTACTTCTGGGCAAGTCAGGTGACTTTTAAAGTGGACTCCTCCAGCCCTAGCCAGTTTTGCTCAGTGGTTAGAGCATCAGCCTGCAGACTGAAGGGTCCTGGGTTCAATTTCTGGCCAAGGGCACATACCTTGGTTGCAGGCTCAATCCCTGGCCCAGGTCAGGGTGTGTGCAGGAGGCAACCAATTGATGTCTCTCTCTCACATCGATGTTTCTTTTTCCCTTTCTCTCTCTATCCCTTCCACTCTCTCTGAAAAGCAATGGAAAAAATATCCTTGGGTAAGAATTAAAAAAAAAAAATTAAAGTGGACTCCTCCAGGCTGGAGAAGTATATAGTCATTAAAACATTTAATACATTGTTAAGAATGAACTGATCCTTCCATCTCCCACCCCTTTTTTGTAAACTTCTAAGTAAAGATCGCACATCAGCTCTCTAAAGTTCACTCCTGTGATGAAGGAAATCACTATCTGGAGTTTACTTGTTTAAGTATCTGATTTTTATCTTTTATGAACTTTCCCAGCACCTGCAGGGTCACATTTATATGTAAAGAAACATGGTCAGGTTTCAGAGCCCTGAGGAGCAGTGCCAACCTGTAAGTAAAATCTAGGACAGTTGTTTTCGGCAGGCCCGGAAAGCCCAAGGGACAGGTTGCTGTTAAGTAGTTTTAGAAATGAAGTAAGTGCCATGAATTTGTAGATAAAATGAAGTGGAGAATGAGATGTTATGCGCTGAGTGTCTGTGGGGTGGATGGTCCATCTAAATAATTCAGCTTCTGAAATCCAAATTGAGCATTTGGAATGGTTGCTGAACAGTCTGCTTTTTTGGCCTTGACCATCTGTATATTCTTATCACTTTAATATGATACATTTCAAGTAACTAAAAAAAAAAAAAAAAAACTAGCTGAAAAAAAAAAAAAAACCTTTAATTAGCTAAAAATTTTTGTACTTTACTTTTCAGATCAAGTAACTATCAACCAGAAAAAATAATCCAAACAAATATGTTCTTTTTTCAGAAAGCTATTCTAGAGTATGTTCAGTCTGATTACATATTTGGTCTATTTTCCAACATCTTTAAGAATGTACAGATAAATCACTTAGGAAAGAAAGGTTTAAAAATACATGAAATGGTAGTTTAGTCCATTTGTGGTCATCTAGATGGGAAGGGGTGTCCCCATATTCTGTTAGTATCTTGAAGCAGGAATGGTTGGTTACAACTGGGCTCAAAGTTTTCTACTCAAGTTGAGTCTAAGGAAGAACGCTCATTTCTTTAATTCTTCTCTTTGGGATGGGTCATTATGATGCTATAAAAGGCTAATTTCTTATATATATTTCATATATGTATGTATATGTATCCATCTCTACATATTTGGTGATGAATTGCCTACATGTTTCTCATTTATAGTTTTGCTATTTGTACTCATGTGTAAAAGAAAAAAAAAGTAGCCATCAGTTTCTTATCATATCAGAGCACAATGCCTGGGGGAAATCACAGGCTCGATGTACATCATTTCAGCACCCAGCATCTTTCAACATCAGCAGCCCAGCCCTGTGGACATTCATCTTTAGCAGGATGGTGACAGGGCACTGCAAAATCCTGACTCATCCGAGGAAGAGTTGATGGTGCTCATTTGAGTTCGCTTCTGGGAAATGGGGTGGGCTAGGACGTTTTAGAAAGTGCTTCAACACTAAGAGCAAAAATGCAGCATGGTTTCTGGTCAACCTTCATTAGAGAAAATGACACTGATCACCATTATTCATTCCCTGAATGGGGTTCATTGAGGTTTTATATTATTGCCAGGGTTAGAGTTGAGGGTGTTTAGGTAAAAGCATATTTACTAAGTGCTTTCTTAGAGTCACAAGTGATAGAATTTGCTTAAATGGACCACTAGGGAACTTCTTGGCACAAGACTCTACATCTTTTTTATTTTTTATTTTTATCATTGTCATTTTAGTGCATCGTTCGTTCATTCAACAAAGATTTACTGAGCACCTACTGTGTGCCAGGCACTGTTCTATGAGCTGAGGATACAGATGCGGACAAACAGAAATCTTTCCTCATGTTGCTTACATACAGGAAAAATGCATAGTCAATACACAAGTAGATAAATAAAATGCATAGTGAGCCAAGTCATGGTTGTGCAGTGAAGAGCAGAGCAGGGGAGGGAGATGCGTGGAGGTCAGGGAAGGTGGTGAGAGTTGAGGACAGATGCAAGGAGGTGATGGAGTGAGCCGCGGGGTATCTGGGGGAAGAGCATTCTAGGCAGATGGACAGCAAGTGCAGAGATCTTGAGCTGGGACTGGGCTCCTCCTGCCTGAAGAATAACAGAGGCCAGTGCAGCTGGATCTGGGCGATTTAGATGTGGCCCTGTTGGTAGGCGGGAGTGGAGGTAAACTAGACAACAGGGGGTCTTACACACCATCAGAAGGACTTTGGCTTTTATCCTGAGAAGCACGAGTACTCCCTGAGGTTTACAAATGTATACCAAGAGCTTAGTAAATACTTGTTTTAAAAACAAAACACAAGACTTACTAGTACTCCAGCATTTATAATGTTATTTTTGTATAATTAAACTCATCTCTTTATCTCAGTATCGATGACCAAAGCCAGAAATTGAACCACACTGTGCTGAAGACGTTTAGAGCTCTGTTTGAAATCATTACTTTATTTAAGGGACTTCAGAGTAATAGGCCATGAAGATAATAACCACATTAAAATGTTACTTTTTATTCTAGCTCTTTGGCCAATAACCACATAAAAGCACTCCCAAGAGATGTCTTCAGTGATTTAGACTCCCTGATTGAACTGTAAGTGATGAAAATAAAATTGATGTCTGCTTGTCATTGCGCCCCAGTTAATCGTGTCTTTAAATTCTCTCTCCCCCTTTGCTGCATTTCTTTTATGTTGTAGCTAAAAAAATCTTTGAGAGTCGTGCCCACTGGGAAGCAGCGTAGAGTCTGTATTGGGTTGGATTGTGCCATTTTAAAATATAGGTACTTCGTAGCATTAGACTCTTTCCTGGAGATAGTGTATCCATCTGTTTTACCTTCTAGTGTTTGTCACTTTTTACTGGATATAGCTTAATAAGATCTTAGCGTTTCAACTGTGTTTGTGAAAACCGGCTTCCTGTGATGACCTGTTTTTGTTTGTGCGAACCTGTGTTGGGTGGTGGTCTTCCATTGTCGCTCCCCTTTGTCCAGCGTGGCCTGGTGACAGTTTTGGGAGCGTTTGGAGAAATGGTGGTATGTTAGCTCTGAAAGCTTTCTCTAGGCCGTACAGTTAAAACTGTAGGCACCGAAGACTATTAAATAAAGTCAGTGATGAGAAGAAGAAATAGGATGTATGAAATACAAAATTTTTTTTACATTACATTTTTTGGGGGTATTAAGTATATCAAGATGTTAATAATTCTGGAGTCTCACGTTTACTGCCCAGACATTTCAGGCATGCGCGTTTCCCTGTGTCTGTATTTCATTTTAATTTTTAGAGATCTAAGGGGCAATAGGTTTGAATGCGACTGCAAAGCCAAGTGGTTGTATCTGTGGTTGAAGATGACAAACTCCACTGTGTCCGACGTGCTGTGCGTCGGTCCCCCGGAATATCAGGAGAAGAAGCTGAACGACGTCACCAGCTTTGACTACGAATGCACAACCACAGGTACTCAGACCCTCCGTCACCGAAGACGGTTATTTAGGAAAATCCCTTTGTTTTCTTTCAGATTGTCAACAGGGAGTGGAGAAAAGTAGGTGTAAGCATTTTCTGTCAAAAGTATTTTAGGCAAAATTTAAGCTCTAAAAGATATGTATTGATGTGGTAAGGAAAATATCTCAACAGTTTAGATTTTTGTTAATTTCACTGGCTTTAATTTTGATATTTTGTTTGTTTGGTTTTTTTTGGTCTTTACAAAATTTAAATTTTTCTAAAGATTTTTTTTAAAAGAGTGAGTTTGACATAAAAAAATTTTCAGATCAGTTTGGGTTTCCACAGAAAGCCAGTGCAGAGAGGCCTAAATTACTGTTCTCTTGATTGAATTATATGAATTTTATTGAAAACTTAAGTAATAAATACCAGACTTTAAAATCTATAAATTGGGTTCATAGTTCCATATAAGAGGAGATAACTAGGGAAATTATAACCATTGGCAGAGTAGAAATGTAAGTTTACAGTTGTCAAAAGAAAAAATTCACATTGAGGGAAAAAAAGTTTGATTCCATGTTTCAGGCTATAAAGATAAAATTAAAATACAAACTGCCCTGACTCTCTACACATCTTGTAGAGAGCAGGTGAGTGTCTCCATGTGAAAGCTTAGAGGGAGTTGCCGCAGCTTCTAACGCCAGATTTTAAAGGAGAGAGGATCAGTCCACGGTGTGAAACCTGCTTATCAATTTAGGAAAATAAGCATTTAGGCTGAGATTTGATATCTACAGGGCTTCAAGGCATATCGGTGGGAGCAGCAAGAATGAGAACTCAGAAAATAGTTACAGAGACTCAAAAGACAAAAGAACTTTAAGAACGAAAGATCACATTTAGGCTGGCCTAAATGAACAAACACAAAGTAAAAATTATGTCTTTGTAAATAAGGGGCCCTACAAGTCCTGTTCTTTTCTGAGAGCAAACCTGAAATCGTATGGAAATGACCTCGTCTTTCATCACTGAACAGGAGCTTATTCGGCTGTGTCATTGGCAGGTGCCCGTTAGCCAGTGAGGCCACTTGCAGGCTATTTGCTGTACTGGGGAGCAGTGCAATAAATCAGAGGCCTGGTCAATGACATTTGCTCCAAGAGGTGGCATGCAAAGCCATTGGGTATGAAATTCTAAACCAAAGCTCCTTGGGGCTCCTCTCTACCTCTTCTCCACTTTTTCTGGAGAGTTCTCTAACCCCCCAGGTAAAGTTAGCAGCTTTTCCATTGTTCTAGTCACGCCTGGCCATGATGTGCGAAAGGTTTGCCAAACTCCGAGATAAATGACATGGGCTGTAGAGGACCTTGGGGAACTGGGAATAACTTACCTGAGACAAGTGATTTCTCACCTTAGAGCCCTGTGGGTGGCTCTGAAAATGACCCAGGCTCTGAGAATTGTCCTGGGCATGGAGGGGGCTTGGAACCCAGGTAGCCAGGTCCTGAAATTTGTCTTAAACCCAGAATCCATGGGGCAGTGTGAGCCCCTCACACATTTTAGGGCGTTCTCTCTCTTACATATGTCTTTTCGAAAAAGCTTCCTGTTAAAGTTTAGAAAGTCAGCACTCCCTGGTAACAAGGAGAAGATAATTCTGTCTTTGTTATTGTTTTATCCCTTTAAGACTCATGAGCAAATTGACTCTTGCTCCCAGTTTCTTCTATCATGAAAAAAATGGCACAGCCAAGTTGTGACCTATCCCCAAATACTGTCCCTGCCTCATAAGATGTTAGGTCAATAGAATGTAGTTTTTTGGGTTCCCATCTCCTGCTCAGAGCGAGCATCGTCCTCTGGCGTTTCATTAAAGGCTGGGGTGGGAATCTGTGAGGAAGAGGGAAAGCCCATTCCCAGAGACAGGGCACTGTTATCACATCCTCAGCAAAGATTTCGGAAGAAGCACCTTTTCTTAGTGCATTATTCCCCTCTTAGCTCAGATTTTCAGGAAAAGGGTAAGTTTTTCAGGTGGAAGAGGGGAGGTAGACACTGCTTTTCCAGGGACAGGAAGGTCCTGTTACCATCCTGTTCTGGGCACAGGGGTGTAATTAACACCACGGAGCAGCGCCTGGACTGTTTTAGCTCTCTAGATTCATCAGTCCTTCCAGAACCCTCCACCTCAAGTCTATTTTTAACCACCTCGGAAATCCCTGTTACCTGCTCATGATTCCCTGTGTTAGGTGGATAATTCACTGAATTCCTTAGAGGGAGTGAATTCTGCATCCTAATGGTCCTGTTAGCCTCCCTATTTCGGGGCTGATGAAAATGCAGAGAGAAATAATGCATTAATGTGCAGTTTCTCTCCCAATAGGCTAGGCATCATGTATAATTTATTTTCTGCAAGTGCTATAAATAGCTGTGTAAAAATCTGTTGATTCCAGTGGGAGCCGTGCGGAATTGGAAGAGTCCCACTGACATCATGAACCGAATCCAGTGTGAGCGGACATGGCAGGCTTCTGCAGGGATACCAGTAATACTTGCACACTAGTAAATTGGTGTCAGATCAGTCTGCGCATTCTCTGAGAGCTTTCCATATGAATGTGCGTTTGTCATTTGTGAAAGATAAATTAAGATGAGATGGAAGAAGATACTTAAATTTGAGCTCCCTCCCCCCAGGCACGTACGCAAGTACATAGGCATCGATCATTTTCTAAATATGGTTTTACTGATTTCAGAGAGAGAGGAAGGGAGATGGAGAGAGAGAGAAACATCAGTATGAGAGTCATTGATCGGCTGCCTCCCGCACGCCCCCGACTGGGGATCGAGCCCGCAACCCCGGCATGTGCCCAGACTGGGAATTGAACCTCCATCTCCTGGATCCTAGGTCCACGCTCAACCACTGAGCAACACCAGCCGGGCTGCATGGATCATTTTCTTCCACCAGCTCCTTCCTCTTTTTCTTCTCTGCCTCCTTTTTTTATGGGGTGGGGCCCCTGGGCCACTTCTTGCTGTCGGGGTACAGAGGCAGCCTGCTCTTTGCTTCTCCCTCTTCTCCCTACACCTGCAAGCATCATTTGTTCAGCCCCATCTCCCCCCCACCACACTTTTCAGAATGAGCCAGCCCTTCCACACTCATTAAGCCGGCAGCATTTATTAAGCACCTACTGTACATGGGGAGGGACACCTCTGAAAGTTAGCATGCATTGAGCAGTTCTAAGTGAGTATGAATCACAATATACAATGAGGAAACTGAGCGGAGACGTTTAGTAACTTCCCCAAGGACACTCAGCAGGAAGGTGGAGTCTCAGCTCTGGTATCTTACCTCAGATGTCTTTAAAATGGACACTCCCCCAAGAGACAACTCAGTGGTGGCTAGGACAGAGGAGGAGGACTGTCCTTTCTCGGGCCTTAATTTTATATTTATTAAGCAGCTACTATGTGCTAAGCCCTAGGGCAGGCATTTCCACCAACATTACCCAATGTTTCCCTCTGCCATTAAGCTTGGGAGGTAAATGTCATTGTCCCCATATTGTAGATAGGTAAACTGGGGTCTTGTGAGGGGAAGTGTGCACCCAGGGTCTCCAGCGCAGGCAGTGGTTTCAGGTGGTCTGACTCCAGGCACAGTGCTCTTCCCAGTACCTCACATTGCCCTCACTCAGCCCTGCCCCTCTTTCCTGCCCCTGACTGCCACCTCCCCTTCCCGTTATCACACTTCCCACTCCAACACTTGCTCAGCTGTTCCATCTCCTTTCCTGCCTCCATTCCTTCAGCACTGTTTCTCTTTGCTCACTACCAAGTGGCCTGTCCCTTTATTGCATTTCTTGTGTAACAGCTTCATGAGGCTTCCAAGTCAGGGTTATTTCTGAGTGGCTGCCATGGGCTCATGCCACGGGGGGCTCTGAGAAGTGTGAGACCTAGGTCTGACCGTAGGAAGCACTTTGTTCAGGAGGCACACCATGCTGTGTGTCCATGGCCAGACGTGCACCCTCTCTGGGCTTCTGGCTCTGTAAAATGACTCAAGGCTCTAAGATTGCTCCCATTCTCCAAACTGACTCCCCTGTCGCTGTGTTGAAGATTCAGCCATGGATAACAAGATGTAGACAACAGTGCCTGATTGTGTGTCCAGTGGAGTAGGAGGAGTCCCGTGGGTTGGACCAGTCAGGGAAGGCTTTGCAGAGGAGGTGGGGCTTGAGTGGCACCCATATGACCGTGTGGGGAGTAGATGGGCAAAGCCAGGATTTTCTCATAGGAGTGACTTTCCTTAGCCAGGTGTCCACCATCATTTCACCCTGGGTGCATTTAACCTGCCAGGAAGCAGGGCTCTCTGGCCAAAGAAACACCTTTCCTTAAACTTCATTAGTGTCTTTTTCCCCCTTTCTTTGTTGGTTCTCCAGCTACCACAGACACTAACTATCCCAGCATCCGAGGGCATCCTCACCCTGTTTCTTGATAAAATTGTGCATTTCCTACTGAGATTTAATACAGTGAGTCAGTTGTAGCTCAGGGGAGCCGTGTAGACGAGGAGTGTTAATCTCCCACTAAATGTAAGAGTCAAGCACATGCTCAAATTGGACAGGTTCTCTGTTGCTTGAAAATGCAATAGAGCTATAAGTGCTTGCTGAGCTGCAGGAGTCCAGCCCCCAGGCACAGCCGTTGCTCACTGCGCCATGTCCGGGAACTGGTGAATGTGCTTAACTTCCCCATAAGAGGCCTTTATAAACCTCTGAGACCGCATCGAAGGTTTGGTTTGGTTTCCAAATACGCAGTGTGCCGTTTGGGAGCTGACTTTCCATTGAGAACCTGCCGTGCAGCTTCCCCGCCAGGGTGATGCAGGCCTGGGGATGTGCTACCGGGCGGATAAAAGGAGCCCACTGTCAGGCAAGCTTGCGGACCACCACAGCAAGCAGAACCGAATGGGTTTCTGTACTCCCCGGGCTCTCCTGAGAGGGCTGGAAATACAGCTTTTCCCGAATGAGGTTCCCCCCGCTGGCCTTGTTCACGGAGGAGTTTCCACGGTGGAGTCAGGAGCGCTGCTCTGTGGCACCCTTTCTGCTTGCTTTTTGAAAGCCAGGTCTCACCAAATGTGTTCAAAACATGGAGATCCATTAGCCAAACCCGTGAGATGTTTATCTCGAAGCCATGTTAGAAGCTGTGCATCCAGTCTGCTAACCCTGTGCACAGAGCCTCCTGGAATCCCCCGGAGTCATACGCGCTCTGATGTTTGCGTTGCCTCTCTCCTGCCCTCCCCCTCCTCTTTGTGGCGCTGATGGGAAGAAGGAAAGGCGGGCTGGCTGATGATTCCCACAGGAGATCTCACAGGGCTTTCTCTTTAAACACCGTCCCCAGATTTTGTGGTTCATCAGACACTGCCCTACCAGTCGGTTTCTGTGGATACGTTCAACTCCAAGAATGACGTGTATGTGGCCATCGCTCAGCCCAGCATGGAGAACTGCATGGTGCTGGAGTGGGACCACATCGAAATGAATTTCCGGAGCTATGACAACATCACAGGTGTGTTGTATTGGCCTCATTTCAGTGAGAGAAGCAGCGTCCTCTGCTGCACCAAGGGGCCGCTTGGCTCTCTCACTCAGTTAGGTGTGGGGGACACACTGTGGCCCGCCCCTGTCTCTTTGATTCTTTCACGATATGGCCCATTGTTGGCGAGAACAGAAGCCTCAGGTGGTGAGCCTGTTTATTGTTGGTGATCCCCTTGAAAAGGGAGGGGGTGATGGGTTGCATGTGGTGGGAGGCATTTTCCTGGAGTGGTGAGAGGCCACCTCAAGAACCCCTTGATCTTGAGCAGTTACCGCAGCCAAGACTGCACTAGCGTAGCTGCTAAGTGACTCCTTTGACTTCTGTTAAGTGGATTGTTAAATAATATGCTAATGAACACACGCACACACACATATGCATGCACGGACACACATGCACACACATGTACAGATACACATGCAGGCACACATGTCTGCATGTACATGTGATCATGCACACATGCACGTAAACACACGTACCCCCTCTAGCTGTTCTTCCTGCCCCCTTGCCAGGTCCTGGTGATCACTACTTCCCTTTAATAAGTACAAACAAAATAAGGATGCACGGCTCTTTAAATCCAGGCCTCTGGGACAAGACTTAATTAATGCTTCATTCAGTGCTGGCAGGGGATCCCAGTGTCTTAGTGCTACTAAAAATGGATGGTCTATTTGCTTTTTAAATAAGTGGATAAAGTTAAAAAAATAATCTTTCAGACTTCTCATTTATCAAGTGCAACCTGATAGTAATACTAACTTTATAAGCAGCACCACAATGGCCCAGCGGTTACCCCGCAGGAGAATTTCCTTTAGCGGTTCCCGATTGGGAGTTAGAGCAGCATTTTGCTGTAGCAATGAGAAACGTATCTGGGTAGAATTGCCGGATGGGGAGGTTCCTAGGAATCTCTCCGGCACCAAGTAGCTTCCCAGCAGGTGCAGGGATGGAGAGAGGCAGGGAAAGTGTCGTAATGAGCCTCATCTAGCAGCCCTGAGAGGTCTGTGAGATGCACATGCAGATGCCACCAAGAGGCCATTTCAGATGAGCTGCGTTGCTGTTGGGCCATCTGGCCACCTGGTGCTGAGCTCACATTCCTGAGAGCAGCCTGGCTCGTCTAAGTGCACGTTCAGCACAGAGCAGCACAGGTGAACCTGTCAGGGAAGCCGAGGCCTTCGGACCCCAAACCCAGTCCACAGTAAAGGCAAAGGGAGGCGAGAGAGGGACTCGCTGCCCACGTGTCTTTGCTTCCCTCTCTTTCCTGACTGGGAAGGTAGGTGAAGGGTGAATGAGCCGGCCCCTCTGCCTTCTCCCCATGATAGGAGGTGGGAGCAGAGTGAAGCTTGGCTCTAGTGCTGGGAGTTCCAATGTCAGTGCTTGTTGCCAGTGCTGGTTGTGGGCCTGCGAGGTGCCAGGCGCTGGTTTGTCTCATTGGAAACTCACAGCAGCTGCTGGGGCTATTACTGTGGGTTGCATGCCCTTAGGTAGAGAACAAAAGCCCTCAGTTCAAGGGGGAGCTGGCATCAAGACTACAAAGAGCTCAGGTTCTACTCCTGACCCTGCCATGTGCTAGGAAGTCACGGTGGCCCCTGAGGCTCAGTTTCCTCATCTGCAAAATGGGCAGATGTACCACATGTGGATGCTGTGAGGATTCAATGAGTGCCAGGCACAGTGCAGGCAGTTCTTCATGCCGGCTTCCTTTTCACACCCTTACAGATGAGGCTCAGGCACCCTGAGTCACTCCACTGTGACTTCTGAGGCAGAGCCCAGTGCCTGTCACTGTTGCATCCCATCCCTTCCTTCTCCCAGGTTGACCTTGGTAGGAAGGGATGGCACTGCCCTCCACCTACAGCTAGTGGCATGCCTGAGTTCAAGTCATTCATTCATTCACTCACAGAGATTTCTTGAGCACTTACTCTGAGCCAGATACAATCTTGGTGCTGGGGCCATAGCAATAAATAAACCAGATGAAAACCTGTACCTTCAAGGAGTTTACATTCTAACAGGAGAAAGAGACAATAAAAAAGACAAACATTTGTAACACATATAACACTTAGATAGCAGCATGCTAAGAAGTGAAACAAAGGTGGGGAAGGGAGCTTTGGAGTGCTGAATATGGGATGATTGAAATTTTAGGTAGTGTCTGGAAAAGGCCTCATTAAGAAGGTGTTATTTGAGGTAGACCTGTTGGACATGAGGGCTTGATTGACATGGAGAGCTTGGGGAAGAGCATTTCAGACAGAGGGAACAGCAAGTGCAAAGGTCCAGAGGCGGGAGGGTATCTTCCCTGTTTGGGTAATTCAGGGGGCCAGTTTGGCATGAGCAAAATGATCCAGGGGAGAGCTGCAGGAGACAAAGTCAGAGAGGTATGACGGGCTGATTACGGGGCCTTGCAGGCCCCACAAAGGCCTTGGGCATTTACCCCGAGAGCTCTGCAGATCCTTGCAGGTTTGGTGCAGAGGTGGGAGGGCTGCACAGGAAGAGGCTGGTGCCCAGCACAGAGTGCTGGGTTGTGTCCAGCTGGGTTGAGTAGCCTGTGGGAGGAGGAACAGAGATGGAAAGAGAGTGAGGAGTTGAGAGGCTGTTGCAAGAATTTCAGGTAGGCACCGATGGCCTGGACCCAGTGGAGGCCACCTAGGTGGTGGTTAGGAAGTGGTCAGTGAGATCAGAGTGGGTGTGGTCATGGCCAGAGCCAGGGCTGGACCTTGCTAGTTCCCTGAGGTTCCTCAGCCCCTCATTCTCAAAGTCTGAATCTCCTGAGAGGTGGGCAGCCAGGCATGAAGCCCACTGGGATTCTCTTCATAGCCAAGCCCAAGAAATGACTCCCAACAGTGGTAGTTAAGTTTACAAGCTCCAACATTATACTGGTGTTTGATAAAGTGGCTCTAGATCACTGGGCCAAGTTAGTTAACTTCCATGATCTTCTTTTGTTTGTAAAATGGGAANTTTCTACCTGATGATCTGGGCCAAGTTAGTTAACTTCCATGATCTTCTTTTGTTTGTAAAATGGGAATTTCATGAATTCCCATTCCATCTGTAAAATGGGGCCATTGTAGTATTGGGCCCATGGGAATTGAATGGGGGTGATGTATATAACACTTAACACAGAGCCTGGTAAAATTCTCAGTGAATGTTGGGTTATTGGTTGGAGGTAAAAATGGGTATTGGATTACCATTCCTCCTACCACCACTAGGGGAAGCTACCTGCTTCAGATTGTTTACACTTTTTCACAAAAGCACACAGATGTATATACCAGAGTCCCAAAATACCTGCCTATTGTGTATTGCCCGTTTTATGTCACTTATTGATTTCTGATCACATCTTACAATTCAACCACCTCACTTGCTTATATTTCTCCCTTTACCTGGGTCTCCAGGCTCAAATGCAGCCTCCTACAGGAAGCATTCCTTGATGACCTGAATGGAATGAAGTATCTTTCTTCTCTACCCCTTTAGTACATGAATTTCCATTAAACACAAATCACATTCATTGTCACAATTTTTCACTCAAAGGAAGGCAACTAACATTTATGTACTCAGTGATTTATAAGCCTTTTCTCTTGTAAACCACATAACTTCATAACACGTACTGCTGTGCTGTCTCCATTTTACAGTGACGAAAAACGGGTAGGCCTCCTTTCCCCATAGACCCTAACTCTTTGACTTCGATGAAAACCTCTACACAGCATTTATAAGCATAGGGAATGGCAGGGACCAGCAGGGAAGGGCCTGGGGGAGGCAGGGGAAGGGGGTGTTTGCAGAAGTAGGTGGACTACTTAGTGCAGAAAGGGGTGCGGCCAGCTGGACTCTAACCTGCCTGAAGGAAGCCCTGCAGCACCGGTGCGCTGGGCAGACGGCAGATGGATAAGCAAGGGGACAGCCACAGAACCACTTGTCTTGAAGAAACTGAGGAATGCGTGGGCTAGTCTCCCATCACGGGGCACGCATGCCTCATTTGTCATCTTGTTTGATCACGGGGTGATCCCGGAGTCGGCGAGGGCTGGGCAGGATTTTCTCGATCCATGCCTGGTCGGACTGGAGCTCCGACGAGGGGAAGGGGCACCTGCTTCCTCCCTTGGGACCCCAGTGGGCATGGTGCGAAAGGGACAACTCCAGCTCTCCATCTTCTTCTAGCGGGAGAGGGCAACCCATGGTCATGTTCACCCCAAGGTTTTACTCCTCATATTTCTTTCCTACATCTCTTCTCTGTTCTCCTGGGTTTGTTTGTTTACCTTTTGATTATATACAAAGCATGGTCCAGTCTCTAACCTCCCTTTCCTACGTAAAGCTACACACACACACACACACACACACACACACACACACAATGATCTCTGCTGCTACTGACAATTCTGTGGGCTAAAGTGTTCACCTGGACAGAGGCATCATGGAGCATTTCTGAAGNTACTGACAATTCCGTGGGCTAAAGTGTTCACCTGGACAGAGGCATCATGGAGCATTTCTGAAGAATGAGTTCTTTCCGTCTCACATGCCCCGCGGCTGAGACGGCCAGGCCTGGGGGATGCTCTGGGCAGCAGGGCCGCCACGCCAGGCGGTTCGGGAGGGAGACCAGAAGCATGCACGCTCGAGTCGTGCTGGCAGGGGGGGAGTCCGTGCAGCTTTCGAGGAGCAGTGTGGTAGTTGAAAGCCAGAAGCCTTGAAAATGTACGCAGTGTTTGACTCAGCAAACATGTAAGAACACTGCCAGATGGTTTTCCAAAAACGAGTTCTCTACAAGGAAGCATGTTACTTACAATAATGAAAAGCTAGAAATAACTGCAGTGTCCAACAATAGGGGATTAGTTAAACAAACTATGGTGCATTCATGCAGTGGAATCTGTGTACTATTTAAAAATCTAGTTATAGAAGATAAAATAACATGGGGAAATGTTCACAATATAGTGGTCAAGTGAAAAAACATAGGTTATAAGAAGCCTATGTATATATACTATAAATTCAAATTTATTTTTTAAAAATGTGTTTGACTATGAGCATACATTGATGATTAAAGAAATATATCAAGATATTAAGTATTGTTTCAGCATTTGCAGTACAAGTGATTTTGATTTTCTTCTTTGTGCTTTTTGGTATGTTGTTGGTGGAGGGTAGACTGGAGCCAGACTACCTAGGCTTCCTTTGGCTCTGGAAATCAGAAGAGGCCAAATGTCTTCAAGAGCCCTTATTAAAATTTGTTTCTCCTGCTCATGAGACCTCACTCCTCCCCTTTAATACCCGCCCCCCATCCAAGAGAAGAATCCCATTTACTTGCCTCATTCTGCCCTATGAAGTTGGGAAGTGCTTTTTTTT